ATATATATATATATATATATATAGTATTCAGAAGTTTTATATTTAATTAAACTAAGTAAGACCTTTAATTAAAAATACAAAAATTTTAATTTAATAAAAAATAAAATTTCGGGATACTACATATTTTTATCTATTTACAAGTAATTAATTTCTTCAATTATAGAAATAAGACTTCAGAATATTTTTACAATAAATTATCTATAAATAAAGATAAAATTGGCGTAAAAATGTAGACATTGAATAAAATAAAAACGATCAAGATTATTTGACGATTTTTTTAAAACATCGAAGAAATATAATTTCAATTTACGTATTTCTGAATTTTATTCTTTATAGCAATATATGAAATTAGAATGCATTATCATTTGAAACATCGGTACACACATTTTGCTTTAACATATTATTAAAAGGAGACGAAGATTACATCAGATAGACTTTTAGACATTATAAATAAATATATTATTACGAACAATATACTACGTCATACTAATTTGCTTCCGAGTATTGGCGTTTTTTCAATCTGACGGTTATGTCGTCAATCTCGGATTTAAATGTAACATTATTTTTTGCATGAAGGAAACGAGTTTGATCCTCAACACAGGCATGATGAGCACACGTTCGCGATTATTCTCATTTCTTAACGTGCATTATTTCATTTAGAGTTTAATATAAAAATTAATTTATCATTATTATCACGAAAATTAGAGGCGTTAATTAGAGTCCGCAGTATAGAGTGTATATTAAAATATTCGGCATCTTCTTTCGGAGGCGATTTTCTTCCCCAGAGATTTTCAAAAGTCGATTCGACACGTGTGCAATCACTTTCTTACCATTAACGCACGTCAGCGGCCGTACACACATTCACCCGCGCGGGGAATCGGAAACGTGGCCGATGTCCATTTCCACCAATGTCCATTTAATTTTAATCCCGGCTTAATGGACTCCTCTCACCTCTTTCTAACTCTTGGAATTAAAAAGAGGTGAAAAAGTAAGGTCGGATTAAAACTAACATATCCACGATAGAAACGGACACGAGGAAGGCTGAATGTCCGTTTCCGCCAATATAGATTAACTGGAATGTCGGTTCAATTATTTTATTTTTTTATTTCTACGGATTAAAAAAGGGGCTAAACTGAACCGGTATTCAAATTAATCTACATCGGTAGAAGTGTAGACTTGTATGTTACGACCGATCGGGACTTATCGGAGTCGCTGATAACACTTGCTCGCACACTTACCGCGAGAAGAAACGGTCGACGGACGAATGCGACACGGCTGGAACTGTCTCAGGCTTCAAGTCTCGCTCGGCCTCGGATTCGGCCATGCTCAGTCGAGTGGTGCGAACCGGTCGTCGTAGACCGGGAAAGTACCACTCCGATCCCGACTTGATGCTTTCGCATTTATTTTCAGCGAATCGCGCGGACACATACACACACGCGTGAAGCGTATCGGTTTTATCCACAGATCTAAATTTTACGCAACGCGCGCGTATGTGTGTGTATGTCGGACTACGTGTCCCGGCTACGAGATCCCGTTTCCAAGTGTGTCGAGCGGGAAAGAAAGAAGAAAAAAAAATTGATTAACGTGATCCGACGAATTTAATGATTCTTAGTCGCGACATCGAGATCGCTACTATCATGATCGACGTTTGCGTGACTCCTCGACGTGGCCGCTCGAAACAAGAGAACGAACGAGCCTCACGGTC